CCTATGTTAATGACTCTGAATACCTACAGTGGAAACCTGATATAACAGGGATGGTGGGAGTAGAGAAAATGTCCTGTTATATCCGATCCCTGTTAAATCAGAAATGCAAGGAAAGTAAGCATTTGTGGACTAATACAGCAGTACTTGTTCATGGGTAGTTGCCTTTGCCACAAGAACCAACGAACATGGGTTTTGGCACAAATGTTCTCCTTGCCTCCTTAAACCACATCAGAAGAGCTTGGTCCACAGCATCTGCATCGGGTATTCTCATCTTCTTTGGATCCAGAGCAAACTTTCCATAGGAGTATGCTGCCTCTATCTTCTCTCTATCCTTGATAATGATGTCGTGAATCGACCCTTGTGGAATGTCGAACTGATGACAAAATCTCTGCCAGTGGAGCTTGCTTTTTGTTAACAGCCAGGATTATTTCGTATTTTTTGTCAATTGAAAGGCATTTTCTCTTGCGCTTGACATCGTTGGTGACACATTACGCATGCGTCTTGCTAGGTTTCGGGCTAGATCAAGGTCTGCAGCACACTGCAGCCTTCTCTCTCTTCACACGCTGCATGTGCTCGCAGTGGCATGGCTTGCGTGGGCTTGCTCCATCACTGCGTTACTCTCTCTTTCTTTCTCTCTCTCTCTATCTCTCTCTCTCTCACTCTCTTTCTCTCTCTTATTTTTACACATTGTTAACGAGCCTTTGTCCCTGCTTTAACCGGTTGGGCTCCGATGAGGCCCTGTTATTGCCGATATAACTTTTAATAGAGACAAAGAGTAGGAAAAAAACGGGGATTTAAAAAATCCCTGTTATTACCGGATCCATGTTATTACCGGGCCTGTTATATATGGTTTCCACTGTAGTATTCTTCAATTCAGGAATACAAACATAGGAGGTTCCTCATGCTTTGTGCCTTCTTTAAAAAAAAAACCTTGACAGTTGAAAGTCAAAGAAAAACAACCCTGCTCATACTCTTTACTCTAACCTATATAGTCTGGTTCCTTTTATTTCTCAAGAAGTAGAGTCTTAGGTGGACATGGCAGCATTTCTCTTTCACTAACCAGCTCCAGAAACATCATTTCATTGTCCAAAATATTGACATTAGATATATCTATAATTATAGTCTAGTTGGGCCTGCTGTAACGACCACATGTCCAAGATAATTACATGAATATATAATCACTTCTCACTTCCCCCCTTGCATTTTTTAAATATCACAATGACACAGTTCAAGAAGACCACTTGTCTAAGATGAACACTTTTCTCCTCAACAACGGGTAGTTGTCTTAAATAAGTTCAACTCTTCGTATTATTATATTAACACATGACAGCACAGACACAGACAAAGAAACAAACCTTGTTCTGAGTGGTAGCCAGGCTCCTGGAGAAGTCGGCTCCAGTCCACTGAACTGACCCACCGGGCACAGGTCTGGACGAGACAGGAACCCCAAACATTTCAGCCACGGTGGGCAGCACTTCGGTGGGTTTGTCTGCTGAATTTGACGCCTTACTACTCCCCTCTTGAACACTCATAATCTCACTGCTGTTGTTTTCCGAACTCTGAGTTTCCATCAGGTTGTTGAAAGCGTCAGGGGACTCGTTGTGCACAATAGGAGTTATGGGTCCTGGAGTATGAGCCAGAGCAAGACCCGGGGTCGAGGTCAGGCCAGCAGCACCTCTGACTGTTGAAGTGGAGCTCTCAGCAGCCAGGGAAGATTCCTCCCCCACAGATTTCGATAAAAGGAGTTCCCGAGCAGAGCCGTGAAAAGGAGTTTCCTGCTGCCTTTTCATACTGCCAGTCTGCTGTTTGTAACCCCCTATTGGAGAACGAATGAAATAGTCAGGATCCTCCTCCTCATCCCCTCCTTCCTGAGCTTTTGGAGCATTGCTTCTGGAGGAGTTTGCCTCCCTGTCCGACAAAACCGACACGCTTTGAGTGGAACTATCAGACCAAAGAGAGTGCTCAACATACGGCTTTCCACAAGTATAGGAACCATCCATGCCTTCCCCTGTGTTACGAAGTGCACTTTCTCCAAACGAGTACCCCTCAAAACTATCATTCACAGCTTGAGAGCCCAAGCCACCCTTTGTTCCTTCCTCAAATGTCACACTCAGTGGTCCAGGCTCTCCCTTACTATTCTCAGATCTTGGCTCACAAAAAGAGGCTGACATGCCTTTTTGTCCGACAGACGGACTAAACCGCAAACCTTTGCTTGGCAAATTGGCCCCACTTTTGACCGGTGTGAATGCAGAGGGCTGTAACATCGAGCCGGCAAGGGCAGGGCCGGAGCTCGCTAGAGTCTGGAGCCAGCGTAACCTCCTCAAGACCACCATGTAGCGTCTACTGTACACATCTGCAGAGAGAAATTCAGAAGAATGAGGTGGAGATAAAAACGTTCAATTCATGAAAACTACAAAGTGACTGATAAGAATGTACATATGTGAGTGACTGACATGAATGTAAATTCTTTACACTTCCAATAAAACAGAATGGTTTAGGAGGTGCACATTATCAATATTACTTAAGGGAAGACAAGCATGCTTTTTCAAAATCTGTTATGCACAGACTTAGCAATCATTTAAGGGCATTTTTTATAACTTTGGGGGTCTTGTACGTTATTCAGGTAGTCAGATGTACTTTGGTTCTGCGCTCCGGGCAAATTTTTCCACTTCAGGGTGTCACGACCCCCTCTAAAAGTGTTATTTTAGTGCAGGTGTTATTTTCTTATCTCTAAAGCCACAGAGTTAATATTTTCACAGAATAAACTCAGTATAGGTAGTTGCAACCTGTTAGAGGATTTTTTAAATATCGTTCATAATAAGCGAGATATCCTGGATTTTAATACATGACTTGCCAAAACACCGAAATTTTCCTTAAAATCACTCCCTCTGATGCAAAAAGAACGTAGTAATATGAAAAACATTCCATAAATTAAAAAAAAGCCTCTAACAGGTTGCAACTACGCCAATTGCCCACACTGAGGTCAAATTTCAAGGGAATCCTATAAACAGCCTCCGAAATCTCGCTGCACTAAAACCCCATACCCTTAAAAATATCGCGTTTTAGAGAAAACGCAAAATAGGGCAGACAGATCAATGTAGTGTTCGTCTTTTTCAGTATCTACCGCTGCACTCTACCGATCACCCACTTTGGCACTTTGGGATACAACTATGTAAAATGAAATAAAAATACAGTTTGGAATGATGAGATAATACCATTTATTTCTAGAGAACAGCACAAGGAAAGGGGAACAAAGTTATCCCATAGCTTGAAACAGGGCAATCATAGTCATACTTTATTAAAAATAGTAAAGCGATAAGAGAAACACTTCTAAACACTGAAGTGCATTTCTGAGCAGGTGGGATTTTCAGGATAAAATTTGGGTAAGTTGTTAGGTGTATTTTTTTCTTCCTAAAATATAATTATTTCATCTTGAACTTCCACATAAAAGTAACCAGTTTTGATTCTAGACAGTGGCATCATTGAAACCAAACAAGAAGCCTCACTTCTGTTAGCTGAGGTAAATGACTGGTAAATACCCGATTATGCCGACAGTTTAAACTTAAAATCCCATTCAGGTCCGATCACTTGTGCATAATTGGTATTGATTAGCAAAGCATTTTGCATTGCAAGCTGAAGACGCGAGTTCAATTCCGTATCAGAAAGATGATTTCATCGAGTATCTCCGCACTTGCTGTAACTTTTAGGATGAAAGAGCGTCCTCGACAACGGTGATAAAGTAGGATGTCCAGCAGGAGTGGGACTGTCAGACAAGCATGGTCTATCATAATTTTGGTAATAGCAAGCTTTTTGTAAATAGTCTGTATGTTGCATTTTGGACGTTTACTCATTGTTGACACGGTGAGGAACACATATGTTGTGGAATAAAAACAGTACCTTTTGCTAGTCAACAATAGTGCATATAACGAGCTGCATTAAAAAATATATAATAACAAGAATGGAGAGGATTAAGGATTGTTAACCAGAAAAAAGAGAAACAGTGAACCTCGCGTTGAATGCAGCGAATCTGTTGAGTCCAACGTCCAAGATTTTCGGCCCCCAAAGCATTTCAGACGTCTGTGCCAAGCTACCGTGGCAAATCCTGGCTAATCTTGGGATCCTTTTGACTTCTTGAATCAAAAGCTCTTTACATTCTACAGACAGGTACTTTCCGAAGTTTTGGCCCAAATTTACCTCCACCTAAGTTTAGCATTCAACACTGGTGAACATGTCTACTATCAGCTATATTTGGTTCCCGAACTTTATCAGTAATAAATCATCATCATCATCAATGCCTTTCACCCCTGGCAGGGTATAGGCCACATACAAGCTCCTTCCATTTATCTCTGTCCTGAGCCATCCTTCCAAGCTCGTTCCAAGTGAGCTTCATTTCTCTCATGTCCCTTTTCACGCACCTCCTCCATGTTTCCCGTGGCCTACCCCTGCCTCGTGCTCCTTGTGGGTTCCACTGCAGTGACTGTCTTGTGATGTTTTCGCTGGGCTTTCTTTAGGTGTGTCCCATATCGCCACTTTCTTAGTCCTATTTCTACTGCATCCAAGTTGGGGTTGAGTCACGAGGCTAACAACT